GTAGTCCGCCACGTCCCACGTCCCGCGCACCGCCACGTCCCGCACTCCGCCACGTCCCGCGCACCGCCACGTCCCGCACTCCACCACGTCCTGCGCCCCGCCACGTCCCGCGCCCCGCCGGTTTGCCGGTCGCTGTGCCGCGCTGTCTAACGTGTGTCCTGTCCACAGCGGTCCTGAACTCGCTGCGCGTGCTGTGCACGACGACGGACATCCTGACGAGCCCTGAGCGCCTGGCGGACGAGGCGCGCGCCGCCGTGGCCGCCAGCGCCGCCGTCAAGACCGAGCCTACCTAGCAGCCTGGCACCAACTCGGGTTATTATTCGATTACTTGTTATAGAGTGCGTGTCGATACTAAATGTTAAATAGTCGACCAACATATCAAACTTTAAATATGAAAAAATATCAAACCGCGCATTGTGAGGTCGGTCTTTTTACCGTGTTGTTATTATTTATTCGTATTCAAATATGTTTCAGGGCAAATTCTGTTACATATTTCGATCCACGTTTGCTTAATTTTGACTTCGCCACTTTTATTTAAATACCTCACTAAAAGTATAATTTTGGAATGAAGGATGTAAAAAACCATTGTATGTGGAATGATAGTTACAATATTTCAGTTATAAATACGAAGCTAATACTAAATATGTTCCTCTCTTCTTCCTGCTTATATCCCAAACTATTTGGAATCCATACCTCTTCAATTTTCCGTCCTCCATTCATCCCCCACTTAGACATTGAGATATCATCCTATCAGAAACTCCTTCTGGTATATCATTCCTCACACAATGTATCGATCGTAAATGATTATATTACTACTGTCAGTTTTTATGAATATGAGCAAAGTTCCAAATGTGAGCTTACATCGAAATTGTTACTTCTTTGTTTGTAATTATATTAGTGTATTCATAAATTGTATGGAAATAGTTGGTTATACTATAAATTTTATCAAGAATATGGGAAATATATTATCGTCACAGTTCTGGTGAGTCTATTATGTGAAGTAAATGATGAGGTGTAAATTTTGTATAGCATCACAACAACCATAATTTAATCATGTATCACATTTGTCACATTCTATGTGGTGTTGTGTAAGAGCGGTCCAAATTTCGTATTTGATTCAGTGTGGGCGTTGCCTCGGCCTGTAACGGCGAAGGCAGATCATGAAGTGTCCTAATCTAGTGCCTTGTAGCTACGTGGTAAATATTTGTAAAAATACACAGTCTTCTAGTAAGTAATTCACAAAAGTCGGCAACTGGGTGTTGTTCTAGCTACGAGCAATAATAAAATCAGATTCCTGAACGTGTTTATATCACTTTGAGTAGATGAGATTGCTGCACTAATTTATTCTTAAACACGTCGTTTTGATTAGTTTTTGTCCAATTGCTAGTCTGATATTATTTTTGCTTGTACTCTACAATTTCCGATCGCCGTTAAGATGCCATTTGAATTATTGTTTGGGCATATTATTAATTTTTTTTGCAAATCTTTTAGTACGACATTAACTGATTTCATTCTTGGGAGAATGTTTGAATCTGAAATCAATGCAGCAAACAAGAAGAAGTAATTTTACCAAAGATAAAGAGCCGCATTACGCTTGGTATAGCGACTCGATCACGTTGTAAACTATGTACATGTGCCCGTCCTGTCCGATAACACGTGAATACCAATGTAGTTCGTAAGAAACAATGAATTTATTGAACTTGTCGAGATTTAATTTAGAATTGTCTAAGTGTATTTACGTAAGTACTTTAAGCAAATATTTTTATATTGTGTGATAACACAGATGTTTTTATATATAACTATATATAACTCGGTGCCAACGTAAATATTGTTGTAATTTGTTATGTAGTGATATAATTTTATGAAGTATCGTTGACTCTGGCAGCACGTTGTCGTTTGTTAGCGGCGGTCGCGTCAGCCGCGCCCCGCTCGTGAGCTTTAAATGAGGTTAAGTGCAATTGTTGTTCTATTGGAAATACAATCTGGAAACACACACACGCTGTTTTAATTACCATTTATTTCGAACAAACTAGATACAATTGAATAATAAATTAGTAAATCATATAAAAGTCACGATTGATTACAAATATTTATTTCAATTAGCTCAATGGTCCTCTTGCTTTCAACTCCTCAAATAGTCACTGCGAACATTGTGTTAAAGTAACTGATTGAGATTCAATGTCACCACATTCATATGAATAGCTTAAATTCCTACAGTATCAATTGTGTATTGTTATTGTATGACTCTGACGGCCATATTGTAATTTCTTGATAAATTGCCTGAATATGTTGGGCTCCTTCGCAAGAACGTTTAATTAATACTTAGACGTTAATCATTGTTTGACTTTTAATTTATGCTTCGCATAATTCTCATATACTACAAATGTACAAGAAATAAATAATGACAAATCGATTATACGATTTTAAGGGAATACATACCATTTTCGCAAATACTCTGTTCTGCACAGTCTGAATACTGTATTGAAAAGACGAAAACGTTTCATCACTAAGATATAAATGAAAATTATCAACTAGGTACATATTTTGAGTACTTACGTCTTTTGTTGTCATTAGACAAAGGAATGATAGTTACCTACTCATAGTCGTGATATATCTTTATTGCACATAAATATTTATCATGATATATTAGAGTCAAAACATATTTTATGTTTACTACTAAAATACTGGGCAATTGAATACAGAACTATTATTCAGTCATTAGGTGGGGCACCTGGATAAGCTAAGGTAATTTAATAGGTCTTTACATAAGATATTGCCGTTCTCTTCGTATCAAAATAAAATTTTTTTTTCAATACTTTGCACATTTGTTTGGTGGTAAATGTTCAGTTTTTATCATATTTGCATAAAATATAATGTAAGTTATTGCATGAGAAACGGCAATTTTTTAAAGGTAAAACCTAAATGGCGTACGATGTATTTATTTATCTACTTTATAGGTATAAGATTTTTACAAATGTCAAAATAAATACTCTTGAGTTTTGTAGTTTGTGGCCAGGTGTGGTACACGTAGTAATGTGCTCCATGTTAGGGTTTAAAGCGTAAAAATGGTTAGTTTGAGTGGTGCGTGGCTACGTGCTATGTGTCTCGCTGCGCGGCGGCCAGCATGCGCGCCAGGCGGGACGCGGGCTGCGCCAGCAGGGCAGGCACCGCGCCCTGCTCCGCCACCTGGCCACTGTCCAGCACCACGCCGCGCTCGTACCCGCGTACTGACGATATGCGGTGCTGCAACATTACACCAATACACAGTCATATAATCGTAATGTTTTCGAGCTTGTGCATTAATGTAAAGTGTATGATTAAATAATCTGTCGTTATTAAGCGAGTGTCGTGAGTACCGCGACAGTGATGATGGTAGTATGCGGCGCGACGGCGGCGAGGGCGGCGAGCAGCGCGCGCTCCGCGCCGGCGTCGAGCGCGGCGGCCGGCTCGTCCAGCAGCAGCGCCGCCGCCGTCGTGCAGCGCCGCGCGCGCCGCCGCCACGCGCCCCGCGCGCCCCGCGCTCCATCCCGCCCCGCCCGACCTACTGCACACGCTGCACTCTGCAAGTTGCAGTAAATATATTTATATCATACATTACTTTTACCACGAATAATGTTTCCATTCGAGTAAGCCCCATTTTTCAGATTCGGATTTGATTAAAACTGTAAGGTAAGGCGTTCATGATAAAGATAAATCATATTATGATGAATCATACCTAATCCAGCGGGCTGACTGGAGACAAAATCGAACAGTCCGACTGCCCTCAGACTGTGCCATATCTCTTCGTCAGTGTGCACGGCGAGGGGGTCGAGGTTCTCCCGCAGCGTGCCGGAGAACATGGCGGGGTCCTGCGGCACGAGCACGACGCGGTGGCGCAGCGCGCGCAGCGGCACGCGGCGGATGTCCTCGCCGTCCACCAACACGCGCCCGCTACTGATTGTGGTCGCGCCGGCACAACTCAACAGTAGGGTCGATTTACCACTACCGCTTCGACCGCAAATGGCAACCTGATACCATAATTTCATTTTGAAACGAAGAGTTTATTACATACGTTAACGATATGTTGGAATTAGAAAGGTTGAAAATCAATGCGGCCGTAAATACAACTTATACTTTAGTTACCTTTTCACCCGGAGAAATAGTGAGGTTGATATTTTTTAATATCGTTGTGGATCCCGGTTCGTGCTGAATGTTAACGTTCTGAAATTCAATCTTGCCATTTCTCTGCCATCCGGCTGGTATTGGACCTACGAAAACAACAATATCAAGGGATGTCCACAATATTGTTTGATAGGCGATGACTGCTTATGTGGTTCTGTTTGTATAGTGCGTTTACACCCACAGTCGTCTCTGTAGTCTTCCTGGGGAGCGCAGGTGTCGGCGTGCACCCGCTCGAGCGCGGCCAGCTGTAGATGCAGGTCGGCGCGGCACTTGGCCAGGTGCGCCAGGTAGGCCGGCAGCAGCAGCGCGTAGGCCCCCGCCAGCCCCGCCACCGCGCCGCCCGCGCCGCTCCGCAGGCACGCCGCCAGCACCACGCACACACAGCCCGCGCCCACCAGGTCCTGCGAGACCAAATAAGTCATTTATCTGCAGCCAGAACTGTCTCAGCCTTTAATAAAAGTTATTTACATGACTATGGTAACACTTCATAACCCAAAATGATTTTAAACATTTTCCATACCAGTGTGAGTCCAAGCCAGCGATTGGCTGCGTTTAGCAACAACAACGTGTTATGGTTGGTGTCAAGGCTGCGCAGGTAGTTGGTGCGCATGCGCGGCTGAAGGCGGCCGGCGCGGATCGTGCTGGCACCGGCGCACGTCTGCGCGCACAGGGATACCACCACTGCTGCACTATGAGCCTCCGCGCACTGGAGCTCACTGTGTGGAATTAAAATGGATAGGTTTTGAGAGGTTTCATCATAATCCATATCATCTATAGGTCGACGATCCCGATATTAAAATGAAAATGTAGTGTTAACCTACCGGGCGTTACATAAATAAATAGATTGCAGTGTCAGGTAGCACAATAAGGCGGGGAGCGACGCCAATAAAGTCCACGGAGCGATAATTGCGTTCACCAGGATAGCCGCAGCACAAAGAAGTGCCAGTTGCGCCCAGCGACTAATTGCCGTTGGAAGTTTCTGAAACAAGGAATGAGAAAACAGTGTGTTTGGTTTTTAACGATAAGTATACAAAACAGTTAGGTCTCATTTATAGAGACACGGCGGGTCGTATATTGCCGCTGCGCAGCGAGCCGCGTCATTGCCGCGCAAACACAAACGACAAACTCCCGAGGCGTCGCGTCTCTGTAAACGAGACCTAAGATTCTCTCTAACAAATAATACAAATATATATATGTATATAAATAAATAGACGCACATGTTAATGTAAAAGATGTTTTTACCTTATCAATAACCAAGATGTCAGCGGAGAAGCGGTGCAGCGTGTCCCCGAGCGGCGCTGCGCGCAGATGGTGCGGCGGCGCGCGCAGCGTGGCGTGCAGCAGGCGGTCGTGCAGTCCGCGCCCGCGCCGCCCGCCTGCGCCGCGCCCGCCGCCAGCGCGCCGCACCCGCACCACAGCGCGTACGTGCGCACGCCGCGCCAAGTCTAACAATAACTAGGGACGTCAATTACACGCATAGGAAAAGCCGAACATCGTTCGAATAATGATGACTTGGATGAATCAATCGCCTTTGACTATTATAGGTACTAATAATCACTAAATCAATAGTAGAACAGATATAATAAAGAAGATTTTTTAATATTTCTGTGGTCGTCGATCGAACCTGTTGGTCGGTGAAGCCATTTTCCGTATTCTGCGACGTAGTGTAAGTGAGCCAGTAGTCTGCTGCCAAGGCGAGCGCCTGTGCGGCTGTGGCGGCGGCCCAGTACACGGCGCCCCACCATCTGCATGCGCGAGCGTATTCCCACCATATCGCCATCTGATAGACAATTTATAACTTGTCAAGTGGATAGGAACCTATAAATGCATGTCCAGTAACGTCGGAACTTCCAAGAGTCAGGAAAATGCATTTGCCTGATTTGCAAAAATATTTATAGGTAACTTAGCTTCTGCCCACGACTTCGCTCGCGTTCTGGGGATAAAAAGTAGCCTATGTATTTTTCCAGACCATAATCTGCCTTGTTCCAAATTTCATCCCAGTCCCGTCGGCGTTTTTTTTTTCAGGTACCCTGTGTGATGGCCGGGATATTAAAGTATACTTAATCATACCAAGTTTCATCGTAATGGAACCGGTAGCTTTTGCGTGATGGAATGGTATCTTCTCCCATTTTCTCAACATTTACCTTCATTGCTGTGCTCCTATTGATTGTAGCGCGATGAAAAGCACCTATAGGTACCTACTATAACCAGTTCAGGAGTATGACAAATAATGGTACCAAGTTAAAATCCGTTGAGGAGTTTTTATTTCTATGACGGTTATACAGACAGACAGACAAAAATTTTACTGATTGGAGAGGCCTATGTGACCTATGTCCAGCAGACATAGCTGGCTGATGATGATGATGATGAGACAGACAGAGACAAATTTTACTGATTGCATTTTTAGCATCAGTATCGATGCCTAATCTCCCCTTGATAGTTATTTTGAAAATATATTTCCTGTACAGAATTGACTTCTCTACAGATCTATTATATGTAAGAAGATGTGAAGATGAACCTGTTTATAGCCAAACTAACCTTTACCTTTACGTAATCGAACATGGATGTGTATCGTCATAGTACGCAACTTACTTCATTAACATCTTCAGGTTTGTCAGAGTCGTCAGGGTCGTCATCTTCGGCGACGATGGTGTTATTGGTTTCTATGCCATTAGAGGTAAGTGAACTGTAAGGTGTATCAACCATCGAATCTTCCACCACATCTGAAATGGATGGAATACTTACATTTAAGTAAGTTGGTTTTATGCGTATTATTTCACTTTAAAACAGTTATCGTTGTATCTTAAATTTGGTCGATTGTAATATTTTTAT